GGTGATGGTGATGGTGATGGTGATGGTGATGGTGATGGTGATGGTGATGGTGATGGTGATGGTGACGACGAGGAGGAGGAGGAGGAGGAGGAGGAGGAGTAGAAGAAGGATGAGGTGGAGCAGGAGGACCACGAGGGGGATGAGGGGGAGGAGATGTCCCATGTTCGCGGAAGACGAAGAAGAGAAGGAGGAAGGGGTGGGGAGGGAGGAAGAGGAGGACAACGTCGAGCATTATGAACAGGCACAGGGGGAGGAGGAGGAAGAGGAGGAGGGGGAGGAGGAAGAAAACGAAGAAGGATACCAAACAGCAACAACCAATCAGAGGACGGGCGTGCGATGCGCGGGAGCGCGAGATGAGCAGGACCAGAGGGCCGAGAGCGACGTTCACAGGAGCAGGAGTGCAGAGGCAGCACGAGAACTCGTAGCCCCTTGGGCCCCGAGCCACCTGGCGGCCCTCGCGGGGACCGCCGCGCCGGGCGCGGCCGCCGGGCCGCGCCCGGGTCGGCCGTCGCAGCCCCCGGGCGAGGCCGGCCAGGGCAGTGCGCATGCTGGCGTGCTGCTGCAACGCGCTCGACCCGGGCAACGTCCTGGACGACTTCGGGAGCCGGAGCCGGAAGCCTCGAGGAGGAAAAAGGGCACCCACGCCTCTGCCCCCTAGCCTCGTGGTCCCCAGGCCTCGAGGAGGAAAGGGCACCCACGCCTCTGCCCCTAGCCTCGTGGTCCCCCGTGTGGGGGCCTCCTGGGAGGCCCTCGTCGCCACCGCCGGAGTCGCGTCGGACTCTCTGGTCAGGACGCACCCCGCGGGAGAGGTCATGGGGAGCAGGGGTGTCGGCATGTTGGGGGGATTCCCCAGGAAGGAGATCAAGCAGGCCAGGGTGCGGCCTCTCTTGGCCGACCTGGAGGCGCAGTTCCGGGAGAGCTGCGGCGAGGACGGCCAGCTGGACATGGCGGAGCTGGCGGCGATTTGGAAGAAGGTCGCGTGCAGCAAGGTGGGCAAGCTCAGCGCGGAAGACGAGGCGTTGATCGAGCAGAGCTGCAAGACCTATTTCGCGCAGATCGACGTGTCCAAGGACGGTTCTGTCAGCTACGACGAGTTCGTCTCCTTCATGATCGGCGCTGACGAGGCGAGGGGCGGGCTTGACACGGCGGCCTGGACGAAGGATATTAACGCGTCCTTGAAGAAGAACCCGGACAAACTGCAAGACATGATCAGGCAGTTCAAGTCCTGGGACAAAAATGGCGACGGGAAGGTCACCAAGGAGGAGCTGGAAGAGGTGCTCCATGACATGCACAAGAGCTCCAGCAGCACGGCAGATATCAAAAAGTTGGAGGAGGTAAAGAACCACATATTCGACGTCGCAGACGTCGACGGCAATGGGAACGTCGACCTGTGGGAGGTCATGTCCTACATGCTCGGCCGGAGAAAGACTCCCGTGGAGGTTCTGTTGTACGACGTGTCCAAGGGCTTCGCCGAGAAATGGAGCAAGGTCCTCATGGGCAAAACGGTGCAGGCTTGCCATACAGGAGTGCTTGTATACAACAGCGAGTACTGGTGCGGCGGATCGATCTTCCGCAGCGAGCCGCCGTGCACCAAGGCCTTCGGGGAGCCCCTCGCGCACTACTCCAAGTCGGAGCCCCTCGAGGCGTCGGAGGTACGCCCCGAGTTGCCAGTGATTAAGATGGGGTACACGTTCGTCACGCACGACGAGTTCGTAGCTTGGCTGGCCCAGGACATTGTCCCCCGGTACGACCGGGAGAAGTACGACATCCTCACGCACTCGTGCAACCATTTCACGAACGAGGCCGTGAGGTTCCTCACGGGCAGCCCGCTGCCGGAGCGCATCTTCGAGCTGCAGAAGGCGTTCCTGACCCCGACTCTGATCGCCATGCGGCCTTTCTTGAACAAGTACATGTGCTGCTTCGGGGACGCCCAGAAGAAGATCGACGCGTCCTCGGGCTTCGCGGAGGACTACATGCCCGAGGACAGGCAGGAGAACCACGACGAGCTGATCTCGGAGGTCCTCGGCACAGGTGAGATGGTCATCCTCACGGGCCTGTCTGGCCTGGAGAATCACGACCACGTGATGGGCAAGATCAACGCCGTGAGCGAGAAGGGCGACAAGTTTGATGTCACCTACTTCGACCCCGTCCAGGAGACTGTCGTCAAGAAGGAGGGTGTGGATGCGCTGAAGGTCAGGAGGCTCGGGGCGGCCGCGTGAGGAAGGCCCGTGGTGTGCTCCACGAGGCGAGCTGTGAAGGCCGCAGCGTGGGGCTCCCGCAGTGTGCTCCGTGAGGCGGGCTTTCGTGTATTGGTTACGAAATGGAAAGCTGAGACGCACATAGTGAAACAGAGCGGCCAAAGAGAGGAGGGGGAGGAACGTGTTGAGCCATGCTGGAGGCTGTCTTGGAGCATCAGAGGCCTTCTTGGAGCTATTGGGCTTTTTGGGCACTGGGGCGTCTTGGGGTCCTCTTGGGGCTCCTTTGGGGCATCTTGGGGCCCTCTTGGGGCCCTCTTGGGGCTCTTTGGGGGGTCTTGGGGTCCTCTTGGGGCTCTTTTGGGGCGTCTTGGGGCCCTCTTGGGACCCCTCTTGGAGCCCTCTTGGGGCTGGCTTGGGGCTCTCCTGGGAGCTTCGGAGGGCCTCTTGGGGCTGTCGTGGAGGGTGTCGGTGAAAAGAGGGGGGGTCCTAACGTTTCCCCCCCTTTGGGGCCATCAAAATAACCTTTGGGGCCCTCTTGGGCCCTCTGTGGGCCATTCTGGGCACTCTTGGTGCCGTCTTGGGGGCCTCTTGGGCCCTTCTTGCAGCTCTCTTAGGCCATCTTTGGGCCATCTTGAGGCCTCAAAAGCGCATCGGAAACGAAAAGGCGAGAAGACCAATATCATTGGTTTTCCATTGGTTTTTGAAGGATGTTGGCTTCTCGGGGAGGCCCAGAGGGTTCTCCAAAAGCACTTAGATCCGTCTTGTGGCCTTTGGGGGGCCTCTTGCAGGCATGTTGCTAGCTACCTTGAACCATATTGGGCTATATTGAGCGATCTTGGAGGCCATCTTGGGCTCTCTGAGGCCCTCTTGGAACCATCTTGGGCCATCTTGGACGCCCTGACGACTCGCGCCCCCCACCCCCCCGTCCAGGTCCAGGAGAGTTACCCCTCCCCGAAGGGGAAGAAAGGGTTGTGGAAGAGGAAACGAAGATCTTGTTAGACCGCCGGTTGCCCAGAGGGCTGGCAGGACTTTAGAAAAAAACAATGCCCTTGTGTAGTCGATGATCGCCAGTTGAGCTGATGTATTGTTTCAATTGTCGTGTTTTCAATGTGGAGCCTTATGGACCAGTTTGTTGCGATCGTGCAGCATTTGTGCCGTGCTCGCGGTCGGCAGCTCGATCGAACGGTTTTACCTGTGCGGCAATTCTCTCCCCGTTGTGGTGGAGTCATCGGCATCGGTGTCCAGGGTGGTAGGCACATTGCATAGGTGTGGGTGGGGGGAGCTCGTGTGCGGATGGGTCTCTTACGGAGCGCGCCGTGTGCCCGCTCCACTCGCAGACGGGCCGTGTTTGTGTTTCACCTTCTGCGCAAGGGTGGCTTCCCTGCCTGCAGCGGCGAGGGGATGTCGCCACAGTCAGAGTAGGTCCGTGTCGTGCACAGAATCAAATGCCGCGACATTTAAACAATGAGTGAAGAGGAATCGCAAAAAGAGGCAGAGGAGAAGGAGGAGGATACGGGTGTGTGTGTGGTGCAAGAGGAGGGAGATGAGCAGGAGGAGGAGGATGAGGAGGAACAGTAGGCACAGGACGGGGGGGAGGAGGAGTAGGGGCAGGGGGAAGGGGAGGTGGAGGAGGAGGAGGAGGAAGAGGAGGAGGAGGACCACCCCGTTGACCGTCAGGTGCTTACCACGCCCTTCGACCTTGTGAAGACGCGGCTGAATCTACGGACTTCGTCCATGCCGTCTGCCGCTCCCCTCATTCACTCGGGCGATGGCAGAAACTCTGGCTTCGCCAACTCCTAGGCAACGCTGAACGGCCTGTTGTCCATACCTGGACGCTCTTCAGTCCCCCAGGAGGTGACCCGGAGATGCCAGTGAAACACCCACACAAGTTTATGATGACATCTCCGACTCTGTGCCAAGGCTCGTTGGATGCGCCCCCTTGCTGTGCCAGGATGGCGTGCACACTGATCCTCGGCTCAGGATCGACCTTGCTAGAACAACTGGCACGCGTGCCATGCATGGCTCTTGTGCAGTACAGGAGGGAAGGGAGGCTGAGAAGGACGTGGAGGAGGTGCACAGGGATGGCCTCGAAGATGGCTCAAGAGAGCTCAAGACGGTCGAAGACCCCATCATGCCTCCAAGAGCCCCCCAAAGAGGGCCACAAGACGGCCCGAAGTGCTTTCGGAGCGCCCCTCAGGACCTCCCCCCCAAGAAGCCCAAATTCTTCAAACACCGAAAGAACAAAACAACTATTTGTTCCTTGACACCTCTCCGCTTCCGATGAGCTTTTAACGCCGCCTCCAGGCTGAGCTGGCTTGGGGGGAGGGCGGTGCCAGCGCCGTGCGTGCGTGCCGAAATAAAGTGGTCGGGACGGAGGGCGCGCGCCAGCTGTGGGGGCGAGGGAGAGTTGGGCTGGCTTGGGGTGGGGGGGTGGGCGCTGTGCCGCTGCCGTGCGTGAGTGCCGAAATCAAATGATCGGGGCGGGGGGGGCGCGCTGGCTGAGAGGAGAGGAGGAGCTGGGCTGGCTGGGGGGGGGGGGGGCGGGCGGGCGCGGTGCGGGTGCCCGCGCGGAAGTGCTAAGTAAAGTAGTCGGGGCGGGGGGGGTGCGCTGGCTGGGAGGGGGGAGCTGGGCTGGCTGGGTGGGAGGGGGGGGGCGCGGTGCTGCTGCCGTGCGTGCGTGCCGAAATACAGTGGTCGGGTCGGAGGGGGCGCGCTGGCTGGGGGGCGAGGGGGAGGGGGCCTGGTGCCGGCACCGTGCGCGCATGCCGAAAAATGTGTCCGGAGTTCTAGGCACCTTGTGCAAGAGAAGTCATGCAGGCCAATAGTTGGTTGGCATACTCTTGGATGGGGCTTGTTACACACTTTGACCGCCGTTTGTATCGTGAGCGATGGTACTGGCGCTGCGGCAGCGCGTGCGCTTTTGAAAGCGCCTCGACAAGGAGCCAGCACGGAGTGCTTTGAGAGTTAATTCGCCCTCCCACAGTGACACCGGCGCTCAGCGGCAGACAACGCCCCCCCCCATCTGTGTATCGCCTTGGTTCTCTGCTGATCCGATCATGGCGCTACCACAAGGGCGTCTCGGCCCGCTGCCAGCACGCCGCCTACATGCGTTTCTGCTTACAGTGTCGCCGCCAGGCATACTCGGACTGGGCTCCGTGACAGGTGGAGATCGTGTGCGTTCGTTAGCCATACTTCCGGTGGTACCTGATGTCTGGCTTCGCCAGGGAGTGGCCCTGCACCGAGTGGTTCAGCCTTCTGCAGTTCGTGGCCGCCCCCCTAGCAGATCAGTCTGCATCAGCCTCCGTCAGTACTTGCATCGTTGTGCCCCCGAACCGCGAGAGTCGGATACGTTGTGTATGCACTGGCTACAGGCTGGAGGCGGCTCTGCCTCGGGTGCGCAGACCGTGGTGGCCCCTTTCTCATGTGCAGGGATGGGCTTCAGCCACACCTCTGCGTCAGTGAGACACGGTGAGCCAGGCCCTTCTCTGTTTGCCGCCCCTTCCTTTTTCATGGTGCTGCCGTGTGCCCTGGCTGGCGTCCGCACTTGCACCGTTCCCTTCCCCCCCGCTCCTGGCCTCGCATCCGTGTGCTGATCGGCTGGAGACTGGCGCCGCCAGGGCGACTTCTGCCCGCCCTTCCAGTGCCGTCCCAGTGCCGGTCGCCGCGCTCGTCCCCACCCGTCGGGATGCTCGGCTCGTTTATTTGGTCGCGCTGTACGCGTCCTCTCTCTTGTGCTGGCTGGAGCCTGGCGCCTAAAGGGCGACTTCTCTCCGCCGTCCCGCCGCCGGTCGCCGCGCCGTGGCGTCCCCACCCGCCGGGATGTCAGCGCCAGTCCTTGGCGTCTAATTTGGGTCATTTTGTCCCTCGCATGTGCATTCGCCACTGCGGCCAATTATCTTCGTTTCGCGCCCCGTTCGTTGCCCCGCTTCTTGACCTTCGCCAGGGAGCCGCCGACCAAAAAGTAAGCACACCAGCCGTGCCCCAGACTTTGCTTTTGCCGCCTGACCCTTGTCTCGCGGCCGCGGCCAAAAAAAAAGTAAGCCCACCAGCTGTCTCCGCTGCTTTCGTCTAATTCGTCGCTGCGTTGCCCGCTTTGACTGGACTCGCCGCCGGTGCGCTCGCCCGCGGCCGCTGACTAAAAAAGCAAGCCCACCAGCCCATCCAGAAACGATGCCCAGGCGAATTGAGGCATCCTGGCGGGCATAGGGCAGTCTTTGATCGTCTTGGGTGCATCGGGGATCCTCTTGAGGCCTCTTGGGGGTCTCTTGGGGGTCTCTTGGATGCCTTTTGGGCGCCTCTTGGGGCCTCCTTTGCGCCCCTTGGGGCCCTCTTGGGGCGCTCTTGGGAGCCTTGGGGGCGTTCTTGGGGCCATCTTGGAGGAGATCGATCAAACAAGATGGGAGCTCTAACTACGACCCCCCCTCGGGAGCCCCAAACATAAACCGCATCTTGGGCCTCTTTTGGGCGCTTTTGAAGCGCTCTTGGGCCGTCTTGAGGCCTCGGAAGGCTATTGGAAGCGAAAAGTCGAGAAAGCAACATCCATTGATTTTCCCTAGGTTTTGGAAGGATTTGGGCCTCTTGGCGGCCTCCTGGGGAGGCTCCGTGGCCACTTGGAGCCATCTTGGAGCGTTTTTGGGCATTTAGAGAGCCATCTGGAGCCATCTGAGGTTATCTTGAGTCATTTGGGAGATTATCTTGGGCTCTCCGAGGCCCTCCCAGAGCTATCTTACTTCGAACGAAGGTCAAAAGGCAAAAACGAACATAGCGAGCACCGTGCCTACGTCCGACGCCGCTTGGCTCAAGCGGCGCCGCACAATTCGACTACGCCACTCGTGGCGAACTGCCGCACTTGAGCAACGGAAGCGGAGACGTCCACATCCTTCGATGGCGCATGTATTAGTATCCCTTGCCTTAGCTCTCATCTACCGACACTTCCTCAGTATGGGATAAGCTATGGGATACCCTGGTACATCTACGACGTCACTATAAGCAGGGTCTCGGTTTGCACCCTCCTGACTCGC